ATGGAGGGGGGGGAGCGGGCAGGAAACGGCCCCCGGCCTCGCCCCGCGCCCCGGCCAGCAGCAGGGACGGACGCGGCCCCTTATCACCGGCCAGATGGCAAATGGACCCGTGCCAGCGGCGCTACTCGGCTCACTGAGTGATTCTCCCCCCAAAACCACCCCAAAATCACGCACATGGCCCACGCTCCCCGGGGTACTTGCCTTCCAGCGTGCCCGGGCGGGAGGGAGGAGAACGTCACCCCCCTGCTCCGGGCTGTCCGGGGGTTGAACGCTATCACGCGGAACGCGGGGTTTCCACAGGCCTCGCTCTCTTTGGCGTGGGGATGACTTAAAACAACAAACAGAAGGCCCTGATACACAGAGGAAAAGTACATCACTAAAAACAACAGCAAGAGGGGAAAAAACCCAAAGAATTTTCCAAAAATTAATGGCTATGTTCTCTCTATAATCAAAGCCATGGGCAGTGATGCATTATTTTTACTGAGTAAGATAGAAATGGTTTACTTTCCTTATCAAATTAGATAAAAACCAAAGCAGCTGCTGACTGATAAGGGCTGATGCAATACAGCGGGATGGCAGCTCAGCGACACAATGGATTCATGCACTTATCTGTCTGAAAAAGCTAAGCCTGTAGGATGAGGTGACGTTTAAAGTAAAATTTCTGAGCCTCATTTTAACCCCTAGGGGTTTATAAATTTAACAGGAATTCCACATAAACCAGGACAGCTGAAAACAGCAGCTCCCAGAAGAGCCACAGGCCAGCATGAAATACGCTGGGACAGACCTGAGCAAGTCTCCCAAAGCCTGACCCAAGCCATCGTTAGGGGACAAGCCATTCTTGTCCCGAGAGGTTAAATCCTCACTGAAAACAACCAAATCCTTGATAAACTTCAAAAATCCATCGGGAAGCAAGTAGGAAAGAATCATTATTATGAACCTTGGTTTTAAACAGTTGATACGCTGGCGGTGTATGGAAATAATAACCACAGCACGCGGGTTTTCCAGCGAGGGCAGGGGGCTGGCACCACGCTGGCACCCACCCACGTGTGAGCCCGGACTCGCCAAGGCCCAGCCCCGGGCAGCAGAACTGCCGCTTCCCACGTGCGAGAGCTGCTGCTTTGGACTATGCTTCAGTGCAGCGCGCTCTTGGTTTTATTAATACGCCGCAAAAAGTCAAGAATTCGAGGTAGCCAGTGCGGCTTATTTCTCCTGGTTATCCTATCTGCCTTTGAAACATCTTCAGTGTATCTAAACAGAGCTGGTATTGCAATCCCCCCTAGCAGCCCTAACCCTGTAAGCCCCCACCACGGTCCCCACACAAACTGTGGGCCAAGCTCCACGTACGTACAGCGTCAGAATATGCCCGATGGCAGACAGAAGCTGGGTAGGAATAACCAACATGCATCTTCCTCAGGAGCTGGCCTGTTTTCAGATTCCTGCAGTGGGTGAAAATACAAGTTCTGACAACATTTCCATCCTCTACCTGTTATTTTCTAATCACAGTTATACCACTATGCAAGACAGGGACAGTTTTGGTTCCCCATAAACCAAAGTAAGGCAAGAGGCCGCAGGCAGAGGTGTAACAAATAACCTCATGAAAGCGAGTGGAGTTGGAGCGCACGGTTCGTTCGCCATCCACCCGCCGGGCCAGAGGGTGACCCCCAGGCCGCAGCCCCTCAGACAATCACCGTTTCACAGGCAAACCAGGTGGAACGCCTGCAGGTGGCTGTTGCAGCCCCTGCGAGCTGAACCATTTCCCTGCAAGGAAACACGGACCAAACCACAACGCTGTTCTCTGCAGTGGTGCCAACCAGGGCGTCCCGCATCCCTTCCACTTCAGCAAAAGCTAGAACAGTTTCTTCGGGGGGCATCAAAGTCTGTCCGTCCTTGCTCCTGAGCAGCACATGAGCGAGTGAGAAAAGGCAGTCAGAATGTGTTCTGCACTCCACACTTCTCCAGACAGAAGAGGAGCACTTCTCCACATGGGAGATGTTTCCTTCCTTTTCTTCCACACTGAGACCACCCCAAACCCACCGGACTCACCTTCCTGCCTCTGAAAACGTCACTATTTCCACTTGCTGCTCTTGCACAGTCCTGCTGCTGCTGACCAGCCTCCTGCCCTTCAGGCCGAGAACAGCTTTTATATTTCCAGTTTTCACTAGTGACTGCTTGAATGAGTCATTCTCAGAAGAATAAAGCAAGAGCCTAAATCAAGAGAAAAGTATGCCTAATGACAGAAAGAAACATAAACATGGCACCACGTACAAAAATGTGTGTGTTTAAACAGTCTGCCACCTCCAGGGGCGAATAAGCAAGTCTTTAGAGTCGATTTTTAGAAATCCCTTCCATATTTTCCCACTGTTAAAGCAACTGAGAAAGTGCCACATTACTAAGAGGTAATTTCAACCCCTCCACAAGAGGAGAGTTAAGCTGCAGCTGTGCAGGGTGCAAAGCACTAGTAAGACATAAATACACCACCTTATTTCTCCAATCTCCAAATCTCCCAACGCAACGCACACAAGATTACAGGCGTCCGGCAGAGGAACGATCTGTATCACAGGAATCTAGGAGAGCAAAACAAGAATTCAGTGTCACCCACAATGTCCCTTTGACTTTATTCCTATTTTCTAGAGTGTTTCAAGCAAAATGATATTCAGCAGAACTGATTTTTCAGGTCCCTCTGAGGAAGCACACTTAGATTACAGCTGAGCTCTCTGCTGACTGTTCACCTAAATTAATCAATCAATCCCCGTTGATATGAGACCAGAAGTGTCTCCAGGGAGCGTAAGGGAGAGAGCATAAGCCAGCGGCTGCAGTCCAGCCACCATTCAGCAGATGAAGCATCAAAATCCAGCAGATAACACGTGACCACACGAGTTGCTGGCCTTCTCCATCAGCAGTGCGAGTCCCTCTCCTCCGTGGCCTGGCGGAACGCAGCATTTATGCCACCTAAAGAACTCCCCTTGGACCCCGGACTGCAAGCTCCTTGTGTCTTGGGGACTAATGCAGGGGACAAGGAAGTTGCCCTCAATTCTAGACACAAGGACTGTGTTCATACCTCTCCAAACAGCCACGTATAGACCCTTGCCCAGCAGGCGGCCGGCAGAGGCTGCCACAGGGAGACAGAACTCTCGGAGGCTGTCAGCACACGCAGCTCCCTGCTGCCAGCCGCTTCCCACCACACCGCGCTCACGTCCACGGCGCAGGAACTCGAACAGTCCTGTCCAAAACAAAACGGCGCTGGTTTGCTGATAGACATGGTTATCTAACCTGGAGGTTCAGCCTGAGAAAAAAGCTTGGCATTCAGCGTGATGAGAATGTGAGGCTAAAACTTCAGGCTTATGAGTGAAGTGCCAGTAAGGCACCAAGGAAAACGAGGCTGGTGGGTTTCACCCTCAGAGCAGCAAAGATATGGGCTCACTTCACAAAAATCACTTGTTGTTCGAAACGTCGGGGACCTGGCAGAGCCCAGAGCTGGGACAGGACTGGGTGTACCACAGCACAGGCAGAGCAAAGCCCGAGTGCCAGCCAGGCACTTGCTTCCCTCGCTGCACAGATGGGAGACAGAACTGGTAGTAGCACAGACGGAGTTTAAAACTGCACAAAGCAAGGGCTTCTCTTCTCCCTTGAAAAAATTCAGCTGCGTTATTGTTGGCTGGTTATGCTACCCCAGCTTGCTCCTGGAGCAAAACTTTGCACTTGGGTTTGGAAAAGCCAGAGGTGCCCCAGCCCCTGGCAAATTCAGTGGGCTTGGCCATGGATGTGGCTTCCTCGCCTGCCAACCCTTGTCTACCCGCTGTGAGACAGAGGACACTGAGAGGACATGGCCAGGGGAAGAAGAGCCCACGGCTCTGCCGTGCAACCAGCCCTGGGCAAGACTTGCCCTTGCCAAGGCTCACGGGCAGCCGAGGCTCCGTTCCAGGAGGATGTGAACATCAGCACATGTATTTGGCAGCACTGTAGCCCCCCACAAAATCTGTTCATTACTGGGATAGTAAGTGCCTGAAAGGGTGACAAGAGGCCACAGGAGCCACAGGGCAGGCAACACAGGTGCAAGGGCTGAGATCATTTTACTGGGGCTGAAGAAAAATGCAGCGGTTCTGTTTGTTAAGACATTTGCGTGTGTTTAGACATTCATTATTCAGAAACAAACACTGAAATCCTTTATCAGTCAAAAGGACACATACAGCAATCTAACCTTTCAGCATGCTTTACCACAAGTAAAGACAGAACGGATCAAATTAGACAGCCAGCTACCTTGTTCAACCAGCCATTCTGTATTTTTGTTAAACTTGGTATTAAGGAGCTGCTACCGACTCGGTGATCCGATGTCATCTCACCTTTAGCTTTGAGACAAGCTGCAAGCTCTCTTCTTGCAGGTCATCAAGCAGTACCGGAGTCAACTGTTCCACTACGTCTTTTTTCTGCACAAACAAGTAAAGAATGAGAATAATTCAACTCTGAAATTATATTCAGCACCAGCAAGAACGAGGCAGAAGCGTGAATTCACTCTGCCTGCAGCTGTTGGACAGCTACGGCAGGAGCATCTCTTTTTGTACTTGCACATCTTTGAAAAACAACAGATCCCAGACAGGTTATTTCCTGGTTTCACCTGAAAATTGCCTTTTACCATCAGTTTGCGTCTCAGCCTTCAGAGACAAGTAATCGTCTCAGTACCCATCCCCAACGCCAGCTCTTTAATCTCCTTTACCAAATCCCAGCTGAAAATTTTCCTGAAGGACCAGCACCATGTGGGCACCAGAACCATTTTGTTTGTGTAGACGTTTCGGACACGCAGCCTGCAATAAGCAATGAACCCCCCATCTCCAGTTCCATCAAGCAGCATTTTAAAGAATTTGCTCTTTCATCTAGGCAACAGATGAAAAGCAAGCACTTACTATGTTGGCTAAAAGACCACACGCAGGGCGAGGATGCAAAGGGGTCTTTGGTCTGAAGTCGGGTGGGACTCTGGGGAAGGGGATCTGCCCACAGGCCCACGGACTCAGTGCCCCTGGTAAAGAGGCCGATTGTTACCTGCTCAGGAGCAGCTCTGCAGGATCTCTGCTGTTTGCTCTCTGACTGCTGATGCTTCTCCACAGCCACAGCCTCACCAGATTTACTATCAGGACCTGCTTCAGCTTCTAACGGAAAGGCTGTACCTTGTTGCCCCTCTTTTCCAGCAGATCCAGCACCAGGGCTGTCCAGGCGCAGCGGAGCGGCAGAGCCTTCGCGCTCCCCGGCAGCCACGGCCTGGGCAGATACTCCCTTGGGGGAACTGGCCGGCGAGGCAGGGACAAGGGGTGTCTCAGGGAAGACCTGGCTGCGTGCTGAGGGTGAAACAGCTGGGGTTGCACCCACAACAGGGAAAGCAGATGAGAAAGTCTGAGACTCAGGCTGCATGGGAGCACCAGCTAAGATGGTCCCTGTGGGAGTAAACAGCAATTCATGGGTAGAAAGTTCCTTCTTGGAAGCCGGGCTGTCCACACAAGATAACTTGGGCAATCCATTTTTGAAAGGCAAGATCAAATTACTTTTGAGACTTTTTTCTCCTGGATTCATTTGTGCATCCTGCATGTCTTGTGCAGCCACACCATCTCCAAACACACTCGGAACAAAACCCTCCAAGTCATTCACAGGGGAAGATTCTAATTTCTCAAGTTTTAGTAGTCCAAATTCCTCATCCGGCAAGTGAAAGTCTCTGATACCCAGTCGGAGGGCCAGCCCCTGGGGACTGCGGAAGGAGAAGAGAGAGCTGCAAGTATCGGGGTCCTCAGCAGGGAGGCCAAGAGAAGCAGGACCCTCTGAACTCTTTGGAGAGCTACATCCTCTTCTGCTGAGATCTAGACAAAGAAAAACACAAGAACACCAGAGAGAACATCACATCATAAAGTAACCAGCAAGACGTTAACACTCTGCAATCGCTCTGCATCAAACCTTCAACTAAAATGCCACTGCCAAAGACTGCCAGAACTGACCAAGAGCTCGGTCACTTTGTTAGGTTTGATTTTATCCCAATTTTTTTGGATAAAATATTCACAGTACTCACAGACCCTCAGACCATAATGCTACTCTTTGTGTTTCACGCTTGTCAGCACTTTAAAAAAAAATAAATCATTAATATGCAGACTTAGTTGGAGAAACAGATTTTTAGTTGGAAAAAAGAGATTTACATCCATTTGCTGGAAAATCAGGCCCAGTGTGCACAACATTCGCTCCGCAGCAAAGGCAGCTCAAGGAGTTGAGAGCCCTGCTCCTGTTGTACGCACTGCTGTTCGCTCCCCGTCACTGTGCTGAAGCAGAAGTCGCTGGAATTGTTCAGGAACGTGGGCACCACCAAGATCTACATTTTTTAAAAATCTCCCTTATTTTTTTTAAAAAAAAATAGTTAGCCCATATCAGATTTTCTTGAATAAAACCCACATGGCCGGGCGTGAAGAGCAGTGCGTGCGTCACCGGGACGTTTCAGGGCCGTGCTGGTTTAGAGAGCAAAGTACCTTTTGAGGCGCAGCTGGCTCGCTGCCTCGCAGAGGAGCGCAGGGAGCGGCGCGGGGGGACGCCAAGCACGAGGAGTTGCTCAGCCCTGCAGGCTCCGTGCACGGGCTGGTTCTTCACATGCTCCGCTGGCTGCTTATCCCCCTGATTCGCACTTAAGTTGGCTTCCAGATCTCCTATGGGGCTGGCAAAAGCTTCATTCCCTGGGTTCAGAGGATCGCTGCTCTGAAGTGGATTTTGAACCTGTTCTGACAGAGTCTTACAGCATTTACCAAGCACTTGGCTTCCTCCAGGAGGAGGATCAGCGCTCGCTGCCTGCACAGCACCAGTCACTTCTGTCTCTCCAGACCCGAGAGCTGCAGCAGCAGACAACCTTCTCTCATCTGAAGGTGATTTTTCAAGATTAGCCTCGCAGATTTCCTTTTCACTCCGACACTCATTTGACAGCAGACGACCACTTCCCCTCAGTGTTACGAGATCTATAAGCTGCTGTGACCCTTGATGCACAGGGGGTGTGCGGGCAGACTTTTTTCTTCCCTTTTGTTTCCTCTGTGATCGTCTCTGATCTCTCTTTGTGCTAGTGACACTGTTTTGAGAACTCGATCCAAGTGAAGTGCTGCTACCACTGGACACAGGAAGAGATTTCTGAGGACTGCTTGAACTTGCTGGATCATTTTCTGCCCCAGAAAAAGGGAACAGCATGATCCCCGACTCCAAATCATTTTCAATTCTTTCCTGGGAGGGCCAATCTGAATTTGCATCTTTCTGCTTGCACTTACTTCGCTGACCTTTCTTGCTTCTGCCCAGCTGGCTGAGAATTACAGCGTCGAGGTCCACCTTCCTCTGGCAGTTAGACATACGGCGAGTTGTCCTGACGTAGTACTCAACCGGAAAGAGAAGCCCTTCAACCACCGTGCAAGAGTTCAGTGCACTTTCAGGAGCTGTCACCTTTTCTGGGTGAGGAAGCCTTGACTGAATTTCAAGCTGTTGATTCTCCAACAGTTCTTCAACATTGCCTGGAGCGAGATCTGTAGGAAAGGGATTTAAGTCATTAGTGTCACTGCGGTTTCCTTCATGGCTTTTGCTGTCGTTCGTTGCAGTGTTATTTCCATCAGCAGGCAATACTTCATTTTCTGACATTAAATCCAAGAGCCCGTGTAACTCTCCCTGATCTTCACACATACTCTCACCCTCCATTTCTTTTATTACGCTGGCAGATTCTTTTCCTCCATCCCCACTGGTGTCAAGAAAAAGCGAGTCACTGCTCTTCGGGCATGGCCGTGCTGGCTCGTGGCCATCAGGTGTGGCCACGGCCCTCGGGGACTCAGGCTGCCAGACAGGGCTGCTGCCCCTCAGCACACACAGGAACGGCCCGGGCGCTCCTGGGGGGACGCTGGCTTCAAGCACATCTTGTACAACGCCTAACGCCGCGCCGGGAGGAGGAAAACCCTTTGCCTCTCTCTGCACAAGTGCTGGTCTGGATTCTCTTTGAGCGTTTTCCTCAGTGTTGGAGAGGCAGCTTCGCCTGAAGACTGGTGACCGCAGTTCCTCCGTCCTGGCAGTTTGATTTTTCACCGTCTCATCAGCATTTAGATGCACATCACGCACTGATTCCCTTTGCTCCGAAGCCAAAGCCTTTGTCCGTCTCCTCAGCTTCATCAAGCTGGAGGTTTGGGGTTTTTTCTCCTTAGGGGGAGGCCTAACGATTCCAGAGCACAGGTTTTCCTGGCTAGCCTGTACACCTTCTGCCTGTGAGCTGTCCTGCAGGGTAACCTCATTATTGGAGAATTCGGGAATGTGTTTAAATGGGACAGATGTTTTCTTCTCTGTGTCAAGATCAGAGCAGGTTTTAGTCTGTAGCTGAGAGGTTTCATGTTTGTCAGCACTAGGAGATACGTTATCTCTGGGACCTGTGGGAAAGAAACTTCTATGTGTAAAAGTACTCCCAGCAAAGCTCCGTCCAAGAAAAACATCACACAGTAAAACTAGAGGGTTTTATTAGGAGCGAAAGATCTTAGAGTGGGGATCAGAGCGAGCTGCAGGCCTGGGGAACAGGAAAGGAGAGCGTTACTGCAGGAGACAAGGCCGGGTGGGGGTACGGGGGGCCGCGGCTGTGGCAGCAGCTGCACTGGGAAGAGCCATCGGCGTCCGTCCCAGCGCCTCTTGCGGCCCAGGGCAGGCACAGAGTGAGAGAGAATTGTGGTTTGGGTGGGAAGGGACCTCAAAGACCATCTAGTTCCACCCTCCTGCCACGGGCAGGGACACTTTCCGCTAGCCCAGGTTGCCCCAAGCCCCGTCCAGCCTGGCCTTGAGCCCCTGGGGGGTGTTCGCTCCTGAGGGCGCTGAGCACCCCGCCGCAAGAGCCGTGCGGGTGGCCGGTCGGGGTCAGAGCCGGTGGAGTAAAGCCCCCAGGATCAACGAAGCGATACAGCCACTTGGGGTTTGAAGCGGTCAGTGTTTGTACAAGACCCCCGGAAGGGGGGATATCCCTCCCTCCCTGAGGGCCATGCTTCCCCATGCACCTGCGACAGCCCTCCCTCCAAGTCAGGTTTTATTGTGCTGCGCTAGACTGAGCGTTGCCATCGGAAACTCGTTCATTCCCCGGGGCTGTAGCAGCGCCGCAACCTACGGACACGCCGTCTTCCCAGAGCTGGCAGAGGCGGAGAGGTGAGCCCAGGTCAGAGGGATGCTTCAGAGGAGAGGAGGATAAAGTGGCCAAATCTAAGGAATGTTAACAGTGCTGGGTGTTTGAGATCTTCAGTGGCGACTTGGTTTTAGACCCTGGCAGAGGCCACCTTAACAGAGACAATAAAAGAGGTTTCAATTAAGGGAGGAGGGTTGGCTCGGCCTGCTAGAAGGAAGAGTAGGCCAAGGAGGGTGTAACCC